AACTGTGTACACTCTGAACCTGTGCATGTTTGTGTTCCATGTAGAAAATACATGCAAGAGAGTGACTGTTGGGCACTCGTGCATATTTGTGCTGTAAAACCAAAGGAGGGTTTTAAGACCGATATCTCCATTCGACAAGATACCGGTAACATCACTCAATCAACACCCTCATCAAAACCTACTAACACCATCAAGGAGCAAATTCTATTCATCGTATAAATGTTAACGAGGAGAACACCGAGTCGACCCCTGTCATGCAAATTGCCAACTCCAAAGATGCTAGCACTCAAACAGAAGAAACTACGGGAACACAAACTGAACACATGAAGTGCATTTGTAACGAGCAATACCTCACTGAATTACTCACTGGTACTATGCACATCTGGGACACCATACAAAACAAGGAAGAAAGACTTTCAGCTATTAAAGAACTGGTCCAGCACACTGAGCACCTTGAGGACGCTTCCAAATCCAAACAATGGAAACCAAGTCAATCTTCACAGTCAGAGTCCCCGGTCAGAAAAAAGAAAAGTGGCTCGGGCCGTAAGAGTAGAGCCAGCTATAAGAATCCAACTAATGACGAGGAAGGCTGTAGTAAGGCCTCAGGAGGTCAACCAATCAACACATCCTCATGATTTATCTGTGAATGATTCTTATTCTACAATGGAATGCGCAATCTCTTTTAGCTCATGGTAAAGAATTTAAAAATGCCATCAACTCTTGGCCTCACAAGCCTGACCTTATATGCATTCAGGAAACCTGGCTCAAAGAAGGGAACAATTTCAATTTACCGGGCTATGATATTTTCTGTAATGACGGGACAAATACAGACCCCCCAAAAAGGGGGGGTGGAGGATGTGCCATTTTCTCCCAACGTAGTTTAGCTTTTAGATACCTGTCAGGCTCAGTCAACCCAACTGAATACCAAATTGGTGAACTCTACGACAAGTACCGGATAAAAAAAATTAACTCATTAATGTGTACACTCCTTGAAACAAGCTTAATGATCACTCTCTTATAGAGATTTTTCTTAAAATAGATACACGTACTCCTCATATAGTTTGTGGCGACCTTAACGGACACAACCCCCTGTGGGTAAGTTCCTCTTCGGATCATAATGGCAAGATTATAGATGACGTTACTGCCGAGACGAACTTAGTCTGTATGAACTCTAGTGAGGGCACAAGAGTTAACATCTCCAAAGGCACCTTCTCCTGTCTAGACGTTACCTTTGTCCCCGAATTTAGCCGCTAAATGTAACTGGAAAGTTATAAATGACACATGAGGAAGTGATCATTGTCCTATTATCATGGAAATTGACCATTCTTTTCACCAAAATCTAGCCAATCCTGTCCAGAAGTGGTCCTTCAAAAAAAGCCGATTGGAATATGTTCCAAACTGCATGTAACAAGCACATTTCAAAAACCCAACCCTTCCTGTCCTATTAACGAAGTCTATGATAAATTTATCAAACAAATTGTTTCTGCCATGAATGATTCCATTCTTAAAACTCGCCCCAATCATCACAAATCCCCCAAATCTAGGTGGAATGAGGAATGCAAACAAGCCATAAATGAAAAAAGACAAGCTTTGAAAAACCTCAAGAAATCATGCTTGCCTTCTGACCTGATAGCTTACAAAAGAGCTAGTGCTATTGCTAAGAAAACCATAAATAAAGCTAAAAGAAAAGATTGGGAGAGATTCTGTAGTGAAATAACCCCCAGAACTAATAACCAAGTCTGGAATAAAAT